GGATTCTAACCCTGGTCTCCAGTGTCAGAGTCCAGCACTCAAACCACTGCACCACACTGACATTGAGGGATAGGAACAGAATTTAAAATGACCTTGGTGAACTAAAAAACTGTGCCAAAATTAATAAATTGACCTTCATCAGCGACAAATGCAAAATTCTACGTTTGGGCCACAAAAAAAACAATGGACAGGTATAGTGAGCCAGTATGGTGTCGTGTTTTGAGTGTTGAACTGCAACTCTGGAGACCAGGGTTCGATTCCCAGCTCAGCCATGAAACCTACTAGGTGACCTTGAGCAAGTCACATACTCTCAGCCTCAGGAGAAGGCAATGACAAAGCTTCTCTGAACCAATCTTGCCAAGAAAACCCCATGATGTGGTCACCATAAGTCAGAAACGACTTGAAGGCACACAACCACAACAGGCGTGTGATGGGGAATACTTGGATCAGCAATCCTACATGTGAAAAGGGCCTTAGGATTACAGTCGTCCCTTCTAATTTGCGGACTTGGAGTCCACGGTCTCGCTTTTCATGACGGCAAGGTGGAGAGGGATTAAAATGCCGCACGCGCAGCTGCACAAGAAACACACACCCATTATAATCCATGGGCTTTGAATATATGCAAATTTCCATTTTTGCGGGGGGGGGCGGAATGGATCCGCCATGAAAATGGAGGGACGACTGTATTATGATCATAACAAGCTGAACATGAGGCAGCAGTGTGGTGCTTCAGCAAAGAAGGCAAGTCCTATCTTAGCCTGCATTAATAGAAGCAGAGTTTCCAAGTCGAGGGAAGTAATAGCCCCACTATTGGTCAGGCCTCATCTGGAGTCCTGCGTTCAGTTCTGGGCATCTCATTTTAAGAAGGATATAGACAAGGAAATAGAAGGATATAGCTGCCCCGGAGGATAGATGGTTAAAGTTACAGGAGGATAGATTTCGACTGAACATTGGAAGGAACTTCTTGAGCAATGAGACCAATGGCCTAGAGAGGGAGTAGGGTCTTCTTTGGGTGTTTTCAAAAAAGATGCTGGACAGCTCCCTGCTGAGGATGCTTTCAATTGGAGATCCTGCATGGAATGGAATGCTTTTAAATTTTTATATCAGTGCTATTTTAAATAGGATAGCTTATTTAATTTCTTGTACTCTTTTTATTATAAAGATTTGCATTTTCCTCTCAGCCTCAGAAAACTCTGTGACAAGGTTGTCTTAGGGTCACCATACCAGGGTTCAAATCCCTGCTCAGTCATAAGTTCCTTATTGGGAGAAAGGCAGGATATAAATCATCATCATCATCATCATCATCATCATCATCATCATCATTTATGTCACACCTTTTCCCCAAACTTCGGGGCCAGGTTGGCCTATGATGTAAAACAAATACAATACAGACGATGATGATGATGATGAAGATGATGATGATGATGATGATGATGATGATGTTAACATTACATTAAACAGCAAAATGATATTCAATATTAAGTCATAATGGAAGGCCTTGGATGAGATGACCATCTTCTGCCCCTCCACTTGTAGCCACTTCTGGCCCTTCCGTAGCCACTCACCCACAGCTGCCCTACTGGAGCTGGGTCTAGGACCAGACTCCTCTGTTCATGACCTTCTCCTTTGCTCAGGTCTTTGGATCACAACCGTGGGGAGGCTGTTGCTCCAACAAGCTTCTGGAGGCGCTGCTGGAAGCAGGAGAATGGTGCTACCTGAAGCAACAGGTGAGGAGATCGCCTGTGCCAGAACCAGGTGTAGTTGCAAGGGGTCTTTTTGTGCCAAACACTGACACGCATTCGGGGTGTCACTAAGAGGGTGCACTAGGAGGGTGCAGGGGGTG